TACTTAGTGACTGACCTCTTCTCAGCATGTCTATTCTTCCTTTTAGGACTCAGGAGAATCCAAGCTTCGATTCATTGGAAACTTGCCTGCCCTCGGATATGGATGAACAGGTAATAGCCTGAGTTGTGTGTGGGCAAGGTGAGGTTGGTATTTTGACCCCAGAGTGGGAAGGTCCAGGCTGGGAAATCAGAGGTCTTAGACTAGTAGCCAAATATAGAGAGGAGGCGGCAAGGGTATGATATACGCACAGCATTGTTCTACCAATCAATACCAGCTCTCGTCTCTGAAGTTATTGGCGATTGTAGAAACTGATGATTTTAGTGATTTGTTCTCCTACTTAGCCTTGGTTAATAATTCCTCTCTCCTCCCTGACCCCAATCCCTCCTTCACAACTGGCCTCCAAAGACCATGTGTGGTCCCAGAGTTTAGATCAACAAGCAACGTAAAATACCCATGCCCACCTATTTGCTATTCCTTTGAAGTCTTCAAATGAACACAAAATAAAACATGGTATAATATTCTTACTCAAATTTATTGGAACCTACAGCAAGATTAAAAGGGCCCTCTTGCCTGAGTGCCAGCATAAAAAGATACACTCTCAGCTTTCAGCCACTGGAGATGACGATCACCCAGATTGGTCCATAAGCCTCTTAAAAGACCCTAAGTTTATTCTTATAGCTGGCCTCCATGTTCTCCATGGAGTTTCCATTAGCCCCCCACCAATAATAAGTGAATAGTCACCTACATGGGCTTTTTACTCTGAGCAGGCACAAGGCTGGGTTTTCAGCTGCTACCTAGAGTTTGTTAAAGAACACAGATTAGTTGCAAAGTTCAGTGGCAACTTTGATGAAGATAAACCACTTTGATTTTTTTTCCTTTGCTTTTCCAGGAGAAGATGGAGGCCTCTAATAAGACCGTGACAAGGCCTTCTCTGGACACTGTCCATCAGACCCATCCTTGGCGCCTCTGGTCCTCTGAAGCGCTTACTGGGAATGGGGCTGGGGAAGCCACCCCAAGCCCTATCTTCCACACCTCTGCCACTCCCAGGCCACCCATTGCTGGTGGCCAGTCAGAGGTATCAAGACCCTCTGCCAGCTTCTTGCCTCAGTCAAAGCACAAGGAGCCCAGAATGGGGGAGGGAAATGAAGAGGGTGGAGTGAGCTACCCCAGGAAGACCAACTCAAGGCCTGAGGCTGGGCAAGAAGAAGCTAGTGCTCCTTTGGGGGTTCAGCTTAGGACCCCCCAGCTGGGAATCCTGCTCTGCCTTTCTGCTACCTTGGGCATGGTTTTGGCTGCCGGCCTTTGCTACCTGCACACCCAGTATTGCCACAGGCGGACGGAGGTGTCCTTCAGTGAGCCTGCCCGGGATGCTGTTGCCAGGAGCGACGGGGATGAAATTGTGCATGTCAGGCAGATCGGGGAGAACAGTTTTGTTGTAGCTGACGGGGAATACAACTGGCTTACTTCCTCTGTGGGCAGCCAAAAAAACAGTCCTCTGAGAAATCCGTCGTCCCAGGCCTCTCAGTGACCTCCTTAGTCCCCGTAGAGTGTCTCAGCCAGAACAGAGCTAATGAGAATAGCTGATGAGAACAGGGACCCACGGGGCTCCTGTCAGTGCGCAGTGGAGGAAGCAGCGAAAGGACACTTTTATCAACAGAGCGAGTTCTTCCCGAGCTTTGTTGTCTTAACATCTGTATTTAGCTGCTTTTTTTCCCTTTTGCAATTAGATGTTCTGTTTGAAGAGTTAAACTCAACACAATGAATATTGTATAACCTGCTCGTTAACTAGACCCCTGTGGCCGCTCAGCTTCCTCTGTTGCCTTAAGGAACCCCCAGAAATAGAAATTCTGTCCCTGTTTGGTGTGTCAGCCTCATCTTTAACTCTTCGAAAAAAAAATATAATAATGTTGGTGGTTGCATCTCTTGCAAGAAAAAGTACTGTAGCCCTCACTTTGCCTCTCCAAACCACTCCCAAAGAAGTTTTATTTTTAAAACTGGAATTCAACACTGGCTCTGATTATCGGATGAGGTGAGTGCGAGGGTATTCAGTGTTCTTGGAAACTCAGAAGTCTGTCTGGCAAAACTGCTACGGGAATTGATCCAAAATAAGGAGAATTTGAGAGAGCTCGATTAAACACATCTGCGGGGAAACAGATGCGTGCAGCGTGAGGCCACAGACACCAGAGTTAGGTAAGCGAGCCCCATCAGGAGTCTGTGGTTCTGAGACTCCCATCCATTTACACGCCAACAGCGTGCAGACATGTTACCTTTTGCTGAAAGTCAAGCTGAAAAAGCATGATGAGACCAGCACAGTTTGAAGAATAGCCTCTACCTGTCTTTTCAGGGGATGACGGGAGGAAAGCATCATGGACAAAGACTCATCTACCTACTTTTGTGACTTAATGAAGATCACTTTGATTTAGCAAGAGTCCCATAGATAACTACATGGGGTCAACACAACAGGTGTGAATATAAGTCCTGAATATGTTCACCTCATGTGACAGACACATCATAGTGAACGGCCTTTTCAGAGGTAGGCCTATTACAGAGTCATGGTCCATTTCAATGTGCAAACAAAGATGACTATAAACTTGGAAAGGGTATTTATTTATCGAGCACCTAAAGCATATTGATACTGTGCTAAGAACTTTACCTGTATCTTCACATTTAATCCTCACAGTAGCTTAATGAGGAGTAAGTTCAGTAACTTGCCTGAGAGAGAGAGATGCTCACAGCGTCTCAATTCGACAATAAAAACATTTCTTTTAAATTGGGTGTGTAGGAAAGATACAGCTCCCGCTGGTTTCCTAGCCCCCCCCCCACCACCTTGTTTTTTAAAAATATATTTATTTATTATTATTATTATTTTTTATCTCATTGGCATCAATTCCAAGACTCTCCCTTCCTGGATTCTGAGCCGGGCACATCTGTTCCCTAGATTCAGGCAAGTGTCTCATTAGGCACCTGGAGACATAGGTAGTTGTGTGTTCACAAACAAAAGTGTTCTAGGAATGCCATGGAAAGAAACAAATGCACTGCACTCCCACGGGGGCCACAGACCCCCTCCTTCATGCCCAGCCTGCTCCCCAAGGTGCAAATGAGGGACTCTCAATAGAGAGTTCTCACCTGGCCACATCACACCAGAGCCAGGGGTACCGCTATATAACACCTTCCAGAGCTTTCCTGTCCAAGAGGGCATTTTCCTGGGTAAACGTTGTTTCGGTTGTCTGTTGCCTCTAAAGTCAGTGGTTTGAAAACAACCACTGCCATCACGTGTTGTCTTTCGTGACTCTGAGGTTGCCCAGGCCCAACTGGGAGGCTCTTCTGCTCCGTGTGCTGTTGAATGAGCTGGGACATCCCAGACAACTCACTCCCCCTAGTCGGCAGTTGGTCCTGGCCGCTGGCTGGGGGGTCAGCTGGGGCTGCTGTTGAATGTAGGAAGCAATCGGGTTCCCCTCTTCGAGGCATCTTAAGGCGTAGCGGCTGGGTTCCAAGCCGAAGTGCTCCAAGCAGACAAAATGGGAAGCTGGGGATCTCTGAAGGCCTGTCCTGGTAAGTTGCAGGGTTTCACCTCTGCCGTCTTCTAGTGCTGATAGCAAGAGACAGGGCCAGCCCTCATTCCTCAGAGGGAAGGGCAATAGGAATCACTTTTTTGATGGGGAAGCGGCAAAGGATTTCAAGCTATCTTTAATTTGCTGCCTCTCTGGTTGGACTGCTGACTTGCCATGGGGCTTCTAAGAGAGCAGAAAGAGAAACTGTTCAACCCATAAGACACCCTGGATCACCTTCCCTGCGAAGCATCAGAGGAGGTGAGGGAAACCTTCAGGCTTCAGGGTTAGGCATCTCTGTCTCCCCAGAGGGGAACTCCAGCTCAGGCAAAAAAAAAAAAAAAAAAGGAAATGATGCAGAAGAGTTAGCCAGACCTCCGAGCCTCCTCGTCAGAGAAAAACGGATCACAAAATTATCTACTTCTGGCTGCTGTGAAGATTAACTGTACGCTCAACACTCAGCCACCGATGACTGCTTAACCGACACGCCACCGTCACGCCGTCCCGCAGCTGCCACGCTGTCTTCAGGTCTAGTCCACGCAGAGAAATTCTGTGACGGCCCGAGAAACGTTATTTCCTTTCCATGACAACTTCTCCCCTTCCCCGCGACCCCTCCTTCCCCAGCCCAGCAGATGGAGG